CCAGTTCTGTCCTTTTAGATGAAAACAGTCCCCGAAGTAAATGAATAACATTACTTAGACTTTGCAGCTGAGGACTTAGCAAGTTTTAATGAAACATGACTCACAGCCTAACAGAAAGTTCTGGGATGGCCTAGAGGAGGAAGTGTATTTCTTCCTTCCTCCTCCCTCCCTCCTTCCCCCCCACCTTCAATATTACTCAGCCCAGGGAAGCGGACACAGAATCACCTCTCCAACTTCAACGCCGCCCACCATCTTCCCATACCGTGTCCTGAGCACAATAGTTCCCGGGGACCTTATTCCTATCTGAATCCCCAACCCCAAGCAGAAGGCCTGGCACGGGTGAGTACTCCGCTAACCGCTACTTAAGTGAATTTCGGGAATGTCTGGAAGAGTGTGGAAGGCGGGGAAAGAAGCCTGGCTGGGAAGGGAGCTCCACCGTGAGCCTGGCTGTTGCCTGCTTGCCCGGGGTGGGGGTGGCGAGGATGTCACAGCCCTCCCTTCAGACGTCCCAGACCTGGGGCGGTGGCCCCCGGAGGGCGCAGGACAGGAACGGCCGTCCAACAGGCTGATTGGAGTGACGCTGCTGGGGCGCAACTGTGTGGCCGCGTTTCACTCCGAAAGGACCGGGACCGCCTTGTCACCGGCAGCCACCTGTGGAGTTCTGCACCGCCAGCCGGAATGCAGAACGCCGGGCACCTGAGGGAGGGGGCGCAGGGGACCTCCGCTGGGGGTTCACCTTCACCAACTTCTCCCCGGGCAGGAGGCAGCAGGCGGAGAGGAGCCGGAGCAGCGGTCTTTCCGGAACTGTGCCCCGGGCAGATTAGACGCACATCCCTGGGGAGGGACTGGGGTGAGCCCGGGGTTCCCGGGGCGCTTGCGGTCCCGGGAAGCGGCGGCCGAGCAGAGGAGAGGCAGCAGGAGTCCTGGGCAGCGAGGGGAGGATGGGGTGCGGGTGGGGGCGTGATGCGCGGTACGATTTCCAGGAACTCCGAGTTTGTTTCGTTTCCTCCGCTCTGGTGGTGGAGCTGTCTGCTCCGATTTTCGCCTTCAGCCCAAGCAAAACGCGGGGATCCCCGAGGGGCAGGGGTCTCGGGACCCGGCTCAGAACTGTTCAAGCAGCCCTGGACAACGAACTCCAGGGTGGTCAGTGCAGAAATTTCCGAGTTAGATGATTCCAGTTCTTAAGAATCAACACCCTCTTTGGTTTCTGGGGCCATTTCTGGTAAACTGGTGTGAAGTGGCATCACTTTTTGCGGGGAGACGGTGTTGGAAGGACTTATGTTCTTCCTACCATTTTAAGATATTTCATTGTAAAGATTAACAACCTGTTTCCTCGTATTCTTGGTAGTGTTAGTTTTACATGTTATATTAACAGCGCGCAATGAACATCATGGTATCCATCTATCTGCACTCATACAAGCTTTGACTGCATAAATTCCTAGAAATTCAAATTGCTGAGCCAAAATATGTGTGTATTTATATTCCCTTTCTTCCTTCCTTCCTTTCTTTCTTTCCTTCCTTCGTTCTTTCCTTCTTTCCTTCCTTTCTTCTTTCCTTCTTTTTTTTTTTGACAGAGTCCCACTCTGTCACCCTTGGTAGAGTGTCATTGTGTCATAGGAACTTCAAACCCTTGAGCTCAAGCAATCCTCTTGCCTCAGCCTCCCCAGTAGCTGGGACTACAGGCACCTGCTAGGACTCCTGGCTAGTTTTTCCATTTTTAGATTTGAAATTGCTTGTCACTTCTCTAAGTGGGTCTCACTCTTGCTCAGGCTGGTCTTGAACTCCTGAACTCAAGCAATCCACCCACCTCAGCCCAGCAGAGTGCTAGGATTACAGGTGTGAGCCACGGTGTCTCGCCTGGCCGTATATTTCTTTTTATCCCTTGGATATCCTTATCATATACTCAGTAGACTTTAAACAATTTTACTCATTGCAGCTTTTACTATACTGTATTTTAATATCTCATAGGTAAGTTCCTTTAAAAAAAAATCCTGATTATCCCTATTACTCTCCTGTTTCAAATGAACTTTAGGATCATTTGGTTTCAATCCCAAAGTAGATCATTGGGAATTTTCTTGGAACCGCATTAAGTTTGGTTTACATTTGAAAAAGATTGCTGAGTTTGTCATTTTTAATCTTCCCAACCAGAAATATGACACATCGTTCTATCTCTTCAAGCTTCGTTTTGAACAATTTCCTCTTTTTTTTTTATTATAATTTATTTTATTTAACAATCTAGGAAGTTCGCAGCCATCAGCAGTTCCAGTGCAATTTCAAGTGCAATTGGGAATTCAGGAATCTCCTTGTAGCTGTTAGTGCAGCCAACTTTGTAGATAAAATACGTGCATACTTTTGCTAGCCCATGTGAAGGGATCTCTCTAAAATTGACCTCACTGGTTTCATTCTCAGCAAACTGACCTGGGCCACTCAACATGGCTTTTATTGTTCCTGATGTCAGTGCATGTTCTCTTTTTACGATAAGTTCATGACCATCAGAAGATATCAATTTGACATACATGGCATCAGGGCCTTCACAGCCACCATAGGTTGTCTCCACTCCATCCATAATGTCCTCAGTAAATTCTACATTGCTTCCTTGGGAACATCAGTAATTTCCTGGTGGGGTGGGGATGCAGAGTCTCCTGCTCACTTTGACTGGAGGAAGTGCATAGAGCTCCCTCCCCCTCCAGCAACACAGGCCAGTGTCTTGAACAGTTTTCTTAGACCACACCATCCCTTTTGGTGTAAAATTTATTATTTTAAATTGTTCGTCACCTCTCTGAGTGGGAATGTGTTCCCCATTATCCTTTCTGATTAGTTCTTGTAGAGAGATGGCTTGTGATGAGGCTGGTAATCGGAGAATTGGAAATTGGAGGTAGGAAGCTGAAATCTGCACGATTCCTTGAGCAGCATTCTCACGTCTATTTGTGTCTCTGGTGAAACAGAGAAAATGTTTAAAAAGCCCTTTGTCTTCACAAGTCCCAAGAAATGGCCTAGAAGACAATCTGCTCAGCAACTGGGACTAGTGGGGTAGCCTGAGATACATTTCTTTTTAGAAGTGTCTTAATACCTGTCACCTCCCTTGTCAGATCAATATAACGCTCAGGCAACAAAACCACAAATGTATCAATTGCTCACTAATTTGGTTTCACTTCTGCATTTTAATGCCAGCTGTGGGGCCCAGCTCAGTTATTTTCTCCAGGATAGTATCCGAATTGTAAAATGTTTGTACTACTTAACCTACCTGTTTCAGAGAACTTAAAAAGATTGACTTTGTTTTAAAGTACTTTGAAAACTGTTTCTGTGACCTTGTACTTAGTCGAATGCCGCCTCCCAGACCCTCAGTATCTTCATCTGTTAAATGAAGATAACCATGGCAACCTCAGACCTCCAAAGCACTTAGGATGTAATAGAGGAAGAGAGATTTGTCTTCACTGTTATCATCATGATTCATTACGAGACACAGCTGCATTTAGTTACAAGTAGATCAAACATGATTCAAACTGGCTTAAACAATAAGGGAGGTTATTTGTTCATGAAACCCGTAGCTGAGGTTTGGGGAAAGCTTCAGAGTGAGTTCGAACCAGCAGCTCAATGTTGTCATCAAGGACTCAGATTCTTCTCTGCTTTCCATTCTACCATCCCCAGGTTAACCTCATTCAAGCCTTAGGACCAGGCCTCCGTGCTTTCTCACTCACATTCAGGGAAGAGAGAGAGGCTGAGAGTAAGAAGCTGGCTTCCTGGGCTCTCTTAGAGGTGCCAGGAACCTCCTCAGCAAACATTCCCTTATGCCCAAATTAGCTCAAATGCCCAGTTTCGAACCAATCACTATGGCAGGCTGTTAGGAATTCTCTGATGGTTTAGATCTGACGTTTGGGGCTGGATAATTCTTTGTTATGGGGGCTACACCTCTGGCTTCTTCTTTCTAGATGCCAGGAATGCCCCTCCTCCAGATGGGGTAACCAAAAAGGTCTCTAGACATTGCCAGATGTCTCTTGGGGGAATCATCACCCTTGACTGAAAAGCACTGGGGCTTAGACTTATCAAGTCTCACCCGTGAAACCAAGGGTGGGCTCAGTTCCCCCCAAATGCATTGTTAACTTGGGGAGGAGCAGATGCCCACTGAAAATCTGGGCAGTAATAGGAAGTAGAGAGGCTGGGCGTGGTGGTTCACACCTATAATCTTAGCACTTGGGAGGCCAAGGCAGGTGCATTGCCTGAGCTCACGGGTTCGAGACCAGCCTGAGCCAGAGTGGGACTTCGTCCTGTAAAAATAGCTGGATGTTGTGGCAGATGCCTGTCGCCAGTAGTCCTAGCTACTTGGGAGGCTGAGGCAAGAGAATTGCTTGAGCCCAAGAGTTAGAGGTTGCTGTGAGCTATGACACCACAGCACTCTATGAAGGGTGATGAAGTGAGACTCTCTCTCAAAAAAAAAAGAAAGAAAGAAAGAAAAAGTAGAGAAATAGATTCTTCAGAGGCAACATGATTCCTCTAGACCTGGAAAATCTCTGAATCTTTCACTGCAAATACCTCTAAGAGGGACAGCACTTATAAAACACTCTTTCTGATGTCCAGGCCAAGGGGTGGAGGAAGGTTGAACAAATTTTTAGCTGGCTACAAATACAACAGAGAGGGCTGGGAGTGAGGACAAGGGAGGCAGAGATGCTCAGGTAGTGGGAAAAGAGAAAGAAAAACAAGTTTAAGATTGGCAGATGTTAACTCTTATTGCAATCCTGCATATCCTTGGCCAGCTGTGGTCAAGGCTGCAAACTGTGGCTGCAGCTGTCTCAAAATCTGCTGAGAAAGAGAAAGTTAGGTTTATAGAGTAAGAGCAAAGTGTAGGCTCACAGAGCAAGATGTTCACCATAGACAATGAAGAGGGGGTGGAGGGGTGGTGCATTGTCACCACATAGAAAAGGCAAACAGGTTCTCTGCTGGCCCTTAAATCACAAACCTTGTTGTTGTTGTTTTTTCCTTTTTTTAGGCGTGGCAGCTCACACCTGTCATTCTAGCACTTTGGGAGGCTGAGGTGAGTTGATTGCTTGAGTTCAGGAGTTCAAGACCAGCTTGAACAAGAATGAGACCTATCTCTACTAAAAATAGAAAAACTAGCTGGGCGTTGTGGCTGGCACCTCTCGTCCCAGCTATTTGGGAGGCTGAGGTAAGAGGATATCTTGAGCCCAAGACATTGAGGTTGCTATAAGCTATGATGATGCCATAGTACTCTACCCAGGGTGACAGTGTAAGACTCTGTCTCTAAATAAATAAATCACAGGGCAGCACCTGTGGCTCAGTGAGTAGGGCGCCGGCCCCATATACATATACCGAGGGTGGCAGGTTCTAACCCTGGTCCCGGCCAGGTATTGTGGTGGGTGCCTGTAGTCCCAGCTACTTGGGAGGCTGAGGCAAGAGAATTGCCTAAGCCCAAGACCTGGAGGTTGCTGTGTACTGTGATGCCACAAAGTGAGACTCTGTCTCTAAATAAATAAATAAAAGTTCCATCACAGATGCAACGTTCTTCCATATAATTGTGCTAACAACAAAAACATAAGTTTTAAAAAAAAGAATACAAATAAATAAATAAATCACAAACTTTTTATTTATTTATTTATTTTTAGAGACAGAGTCTCACTTTGTCGCCCTTGGTAGAGTGCTGTGGCATCACAGCTCACGGCAAACCCCAGCTCTTAGACTTAGGTGATTCTCTTACCTCAGCCTCTGGAGTAGCCAGGACTACAGGCACCCGCCCGCAAATGCCTGGCTATTTTTTTATTGCAATTTGGCTGGGGTTGGATTCGAACCTGCCACCCTCGGTGTATGGGGCCAGAGCCCTACTCACTGAACCACAGGTACTGCCCAAATCACAAACATTTTTGACCCTCCCTTAGCTAAGTAGTAAATATGCAGGGGATTCTGGGACCTCACCAAACTCCATCCCTGTCTTTCAGGTATGGAGAAATTGGGGCAGATCATTTCCTTAGGCCACCTCATCTACAAACAGTGTCAAGAGATGAAATACTGCCAGAGACAGTGTCAACGTCTAGGGAAACGTGTGAAGGGCCTGCTGCCGTCTCTGCAGACGCTGCAGGACCAAGGAAGGAGGAACCTGCCCTCTAAGAAGATAGCCAACGCCCTGGACCGTTTGGAGGCTGTCCTGGAGGAGGCTAAGAGGCAGATAGAGAAGTTCAAAAATAAGTCCAATGTGTTGAGTTTCCTAACAGCAGGCCAAAACAAAATACTCTTCAGTGAAGTGAATGAGGAGCTGAGCCATGTCTGTGAGGAGCTCTCACTGCTGCTTCAGGCTGATCAATGGGTGTCCGTTTCAAGCCCCTGGTCAGAGCAAGATCAGCGGGACGCAGAGGCAGACAGGCGAGATTTCCAAAGGAGTAAGTTGGACTTTGCTGGGGAGGGTGGGGGTGCAGCTGGGGGGGCATTTTAGTCTCACTTGAATTCACCAAAGGAGCAGGATGAAGTTTGAGCAGCTGTGTTGTACTCGTGGCTCAGATCTCCTAACATCTCTGGGCTTAGCTCTGGTGAGGGCCAGTGAAATTTGGGCAAGCCAGTGTGTGGAGGGGAGAAAATACCGACAGAGGAGTCTCTGTTGACTCTGCATTCTCTCCCTGATGTGATACTTGGAATTCCAGAAGCTCCTTCCAGCCTTAGTTTTCCCAGAACCCTCAATTAAGATGTAAACTGTCAGGCCAGATGCGGTGGCTCACAATCCTCACATTCTAGGAAGCAGAGGCGGGTGGATTACCTGGAGTTTGAGACCAGCCTGAGCCACACAGCATAACAAACCACTCCAAACTCAGAGACTTAAAACAATAATCATTAACTCTCACGTTCATGGGTCTGCAGATCTCTTGGGATTTTCCTGGGCTTGCCTGGGCTTGGCCGGGCTTAGGCACCAGGTCAATTTTGAGTCCCTTCTTCATGTCTCATTCTGAAGCTCGTTCTAAGGAACAGTGAGTACCTGATGAATTGCAAGAAGACAAGCCCCACTGGGTAGCACATTCCAAACCTCTGCTTGTGTCACATCCACTAAAATCCAAAGCAAGTCATATGGCCAAGCCCAGTGGGAAAAGACAGGGCAGGCTCAGCGCCTATAGCTCAGCAGCCAGGGCGCCTGCCACATACACCTGGGGCTGGTGGGTTCAAACCCTGCCAGAGCCTGCTAAACAACAATGACAACTACAACCAAAAAATAGCCAGGCATTGTGGTGGGCACCTGTAGTCCCATCTACTCAAGAGACTGAGGCAAAAGAATCGCTTAAGCCCAGGAGTTTGAGGTTGCTGTGAGCTGTGTTGCCACAGCACTCTACTCAGAGTGACATAGTGAGACTCGTTCTCAAAAAAAAGGAAGAGACAGGGCAGTAGTCTGTGCCCACCTCAAGGCTATGGCAAGGATGTGGACAGGTGGTACTACTATACTATTACCTGGGAGTGAAGAATTAACAATTCAACCTGCCTCCAGTGCCACAGTGGAAGTCTGAGCCCAGTTAGGAGACTACATTAGAGGCTAGGTAAATGGTAACAGTGGCTTGAACTAGTTAGATTTAGTCGGGAAGAGGGGAAGGCCCTAATGAGAAGAGTCGTGGGCTTGGTTTGAGGTAGGGGAAGGGAGCAGAGCCTGAGCCACCAGAAGAGGGAAGAGAGGGGAAGGCTGAAAGCAACGTGGCCCAGTTAACTTCTGCAGATCCTTCAGACCCTTCCCTCTCATAAGGACTGTGGGTGGAAGAGAGAGAGAGGAAAGCGTGAGGCATACATGGATGAATCTGCTGGGTACAGTCAGCAGCCACTCAGCATCTTAGGAGACAAGTTTATGTCTCATCCAAGCAAAGTCCAGGAGATTCTCCCCAGTGACTGGGTAACTGTCCTCTTTCTAGACTGCTTTTTATAGTGTGGCACTTTCGTGTCAATACGAATTTCCCCTTGTTCCCAAAACAGATTGGAACCTTGAGCAGAGTCAATTAAATGGTCCCTAAAGAAAGTGACAGACACCTCTTTCACTTGGTTTCTTGGCCAAAGCAAGTCACATAGCTACACTTCAAGGCACTTTTTTTTTTTTTGAGACAGAGCTTCAAGCTGTCGCCCTGGGTAGAGCACCATGGCATCACAGCTCACAGCAACCTCAAACTCTTGGGCTTAAATGATTCTCTTGCCTCAGCCTCCAAAGTAGCTGGGACTAGAGGCATTCGCCACAATGCCCGGCTATTTTTTGGTTGTAGTTGTTGTTGTTTGGCAGGCCCGGGCTAGATTTGAACCTACCAGCTCTGTTGTATGTGGCTGGTGCCCTAGCCGCTGAGCTATAGGCACTGAGCCAAAGGCATTTTCTATGTACTTAGAAGTGGGAAACTGGATATTGATGAGCAATAGTAATTTCTACTACAATGAATATGACAGGTAAAAAATGGTATCTCAGTGCTTTTAATTAATGTTTTGGTTTTGATTGGCATGTGGTTTTAATTAGCATTTCTATTTTTGAGTATGTGTTGCTCTTTTTTCCTTCAGGACATGAATTGAAGGAATTGAGGGAGGTGAAAAGGAGCCTAGAAGGATTAACAGAAAGCATTAACCAATGTAAGTTATCAATCAGGTGCCCTGCTGTTTCCAATAGTTCCCCAAACTAGAAGTCATTATTTTCCTGGAGCTCCAGCCTCCCCCAGCCCTGCCCTTGTCGTTTGCTGTGGTGGATGGCAGGAAGCAGCCCACAGGTTTGGGGATCCTTTCATAGCTAGCCTAGGCTTCCAATCCGCGTGGTAACATTGGAAGGGGGCTTCTCAACCACGAAGCACCTGCCAAAGTGCTAAAAACTTCTCTTATCACTGCTTTAATTCACTTGCTGAATTTCCAAGAAGAAATTCAAGTAAAACTTAAAGTGTTTATTCATTCATTCATTCAACAAAACTCTGTCTGCTTTTTTTTTTT